CCAATTTTTTTAAAAGTGAACTGAAAAATGTAAAAATTGGCCATTATGGCATTTATCCCTAGGCAAAATATTGTCCAAATAATTCTTTAATGAGTCAATAAGGATAAGAAATAACCAATAAAATGTAAATGAGAAAGGGTCCTCTCTACTAAAAACACTCTTTTAAAAAATGTGTAGATTGGCACAGATGGATGCCAAAAATGTGGAGGCATTGCTCAAATAATTACAGTGATCATGCCTCTGGGATTTTTTAACCATCCTCTGTATTTATCAGATGACCATAAAAAGGAATTTCAGGCAATAATTCACAAATTCACCTGTAAAAAGAAGCCTCAGCTAAACAAAAAGAGTTTTTGAGCTTGTAAATATAAAGGAGGACATGGGCTGTATGCTTAAGTAGGAGTTATGTTGCCATTGGCTTGACTCAGTTGAGTTATTCTTTAAACTACTATTTTAGTTACCTTTAGAAAAATTGGCTTGCTTAAACACATGCAAAGAAATGTGTACAGCCTAGATATTAATATAATAATATAGCCTATATTGAAGCTCATTCAGTGCCGAATCCAACTCCCTTTGAGAACAATGGAAATACTATACATTGCATTCAATGGGAATGGGATCAGACCCTTGTTGAGTGAACAGTTACTGCACTAGGTGTCTCTTAGATAATGGCTCAATCAAAATAGCTTTTTGTCCAGATCCCCAACAAGAAGGGGATATTGCCCTTTGGGTGATCTCACCTCCTCTTCCCAGCATCTTTCAGCTGGGACCATAGAAGTGGGATAGGACAATCATGCTAACTTCTTCCTTAGCTCTTTGGAGTGGTTAGTATCCTTGGGTGCACAAAGACATAATTCCCTGCAATTGTGTCTAGCCTTGGTGCAAAATATGTAATGGGGGTATCCTTGCACCTCCCACTCTGCACAGAACACAAGGGCTAGATTCAATTTCCCATTCACTAGAGGGTTGGCTGTGGGTAGGAATTAGAGAATTCTGTGAAGATCAACCGTGACAGACACTTGAAGAAGCAAAGCATTGATTTATAAGTTTATAAATTCAATTACACTCCTTGATCTAATATTCATGGTGTCATGCAACTCCTGCAGAAGCTAGTGGAAAGACTTTGCTTGACTTCCAAAGTAGTTGGATCAGTGCAATATTTTCCCAATATATTTGATTAGAAAATCAGCTGTATATCTCTGATCATTTTGTATTTTGGTTTGTGTGTTGGAATTGGAAGTTGATATTCATTGTTTTTTGCATTTTATTTGAGAATAAAATTACTTGTAGCTAAAACATTTGCTGCAGAAGCTGCAAATATTCAAATTTTATAACTGAAATTAATATTCATGAACCTACTTCATTTGCTTCACAATAGTGCTCTTTCCTGATTCTCCAGCACCTGCAGAAAAAGAACATTCAAAACTGTTACTGATATACACATAACTCTAACAGGCAATCAAATTCATCTTGCAAAGTCTGTAATTTTCATGGACAAAAACTGGGAAGGTGAGAGACACATACACTCTGCAGAGGCATCATTTTATCTCCTAGAATCTGCTTTCTTTTTCAATCAAGGTGTATTTTGCACTGAAATCCTAATACAAATGTTATTGTAAAAGCTAAAAGAACAATGATATAATTAAAAGAATATAGATTTTGGAAACAAAGAGAAAAGAACACGGGCCATAATTATATTCTGTCAGCATCCACTGGGCACTTGAAGCATGTGAAAGCTCATTTCAGTGAACAAACAGCCCTCAATCCTGCATCCCATTGCATGGTGGGGAGGGGAGTGGGGAAGGGTTGCATTTCATCTATATATAGAAGCATCATGGGTGCAAACTCCTTGTAGTGGATATAAAACTACACATCCTATGTACCATGACCTTGGACTCTTGTGTAGAAGAGAGACATAGAGAGAGAGAGAGTATGTGTAAAGTCAGGCTTGCTCAGTTTAAGAAGAAATCTGTGTCTGCACAGAGCCCTCATTGACTTCACTGAGGTTCTGCCTCGGGGCATGGGTCTGCCCAGGTAAAGTCATTTGCAGAAGTAGGACCAAGTTTCAGCCATGGGTAGTCTTATATACTTGAATCTGGCCCTCATACTGAAATGTCTAACAATCACAGCATGATATCCCCCTGCTGCAAAAGAAGTGGTACGTGCCTTTGCTTGCCTGATACAGTGTAAGTACAGATATCCAGGAGTAGCAATGTTAGCAGGTCAGGTGAACAACTTACTGGGTTTTAGGCCCTAGTGTTTCAATGGGGGAATAAATGTGGGGGCTAACCGCAAGGAATTAAAGGAACATGAGTTTCCATTGCTATGCCTTTTGTCTGCTACAGCACCTGTGCACAATATTTTTGATATAACCTCCTTTGGCACAGGTGTACATGGCTACAGACAGTGGAGAATCATGTCATTGCTATTCTAGCTGGATGTTCATCGACTGGACAGAATGAGTTCATGGCAAGCATTTTCTAAACAGATTTTTTAAAAAAGTTAACAGCATTTAAATGTCACCAAATGAGTCATAACAACTAGCAAAACACATGCAAAACATTCTTCTAAAACCCCGAAAGTGAGTGGCAGAGAGCACTGGTGAAAAATACCATGATTGTACTATCATTGGCTGATGCTGCCATCTGCCACTCTCTGTGATTAATTACGACTGTGTCAACAATTGGTTTTGCATCTGGAACTTGCAAATTTTTTATAGGTCAGTATCGTCTGAATACCCATTTAAGGAACTGAGCAAACCACAGCAGGCCCCTGCCAATTGTGCAATTCTTACCAGAGTTTCACTGTTTGACAGAGTGTTCTTATGCAGTGTAGTTATAGCTGTGTTGGAAGGATATTAGGGTATGTCTGCATAGCAGGGCTAAAGTCAAATTAAGCTGCTCAACTTTAGCTATGTCAATTGCATAGCTTAAGTTGAAATAGCTTAATTCGGCTTTTGGCACTGTCTACACAGCAGGAAGTTGAAGGAAGAACACGCTTTACTCCTCATGAAATGAGGGTTATCATGAATCAGAATAAGAAGTCCTCCAGCTCAACACTATTTCAAAATGAAGGCTTGTAGTGTAGATGTCCATTATGTTATTTCGGAAAAAACATCAGTTATTACAAAATAACACTGCTGTGTAGACATGCCCAAAGAAAGACAAGCAGTGAGGAGGGCCAACTTTTGTTCAGGAGGGAAACAAGCTTTCAAGCCAAGAAGAGTCTTCCTCAGGTTTGGTCTTAGGACATTCATGCAAAATGCCTATGCTAGCCTGAACAATGTTAGTGAAAATAATACATAATTTAGTCCTTGTTCAATATCCAACAAAGTTAATTTATACTAGGAGCAGGAATTTATATTCATTTCTCCTTCTCTGTGTATACTCTTAATTAATATCTAAGTAATACTTAGTCATTTGCTACATGGAACTTTTAGGTTCAGTTGCTCCTAGATACACTGCCTCAGGAGGAGCTCTGACTCCCAAGGAAGCAGAATAGTAAGAATTTATTGCAGTCCTGAATCTTTCCTTCCTTCTTTCCTCATGTTCAGCCAGATCCTCTGGCCAGGATAGGGCTGCTACAACATTACTGTGAGCTAGAGAAGTATTTTATTATTTAGGTACAGAATGTTTATTTGCTTTGCCTAAGATCACACAGTGACTCACTGGTAAAACAGGATAAAAAATACAGATTCCTGGCCCTGAGCCCCATACTCAGTCCATCAGAACTTGTTGACTATATAAGAAAAGACTTCTCTTAGCATTTTCTTCCTTAAAGGAATATGAAATGCAGTGATGGAAATGTTCTAGAAAGAAAGCTCCTGTGATATTTGGAGTGTGAAGATGTTTGAGTTACAGGGATAAAGTTTGCAAAAACATCCTAATAATAGAATCATAGAATACTAGGACTGGAAGGGACCTCGAGAGGTCATCGAGTCCAGTCCTCTGCTCCCATGGCAGGACCAAATACTGTCTAGACCATCCCTGCTAGATATTTATCTAACCTACTCTTAAATATCTCCAGAGATGGGGATTCCACAACCTCCCTGGGCAATTTATTCCAGTGTTTAACTACCCTGACAGTTAGGAACTTTTTCCTAATGTCCAACCTAAACCTCCCTAGCTGCAATTTAAGCCCATTGCTTCTTTTCTATCCTCAGAGGCCAAGATGAACAAGTTTTCTCTCTCCTCCTCATGACACCCTTTTAGATTCCTGAAAAATTATCAGGTGCTTTTTAGAACTAAGCTGATGAAACTTTTAAACCCATAATAGGTCATTTCTAATTTAAAATACACTCTTCATTCATGCTCAGACTGGTATAAATAGCTAAACATAAAACTTGATTCTTCAATACCTAGGATAGTGAATTGTTATAAGTGGAAGTCCACTAACCTTGACAGAATTAATGCCACCATGATGAATGCGTCCCTTTGATAATTTTAAAGAATAATGCTGATTAGGAATGAATGACAAAAGGAAGGAAGGAAGAAAGGAAGAAAGGAAGGAAATATATTCAACAGATTATGAATGTCTGTGAGTTCAAAAAAGCAACTATTGATTGATGTAGTGAAATGAGGATAGACCCATGCTTCAAATTAAGCAGCAAGACACAACTGTATTACATTTCAGCATGGGAGGAGCACTACTTACTCACCACCTATATTCATCTATACCAGTCAGTTTGTTCCACTATGAAGGCCACAAAGCTTTTTAGCATATAACCCATAAGTTGGGCTAGGCTCTTCTTAACCAGTCCCCCATTACTCAATTCTCTGAGTCTTAGTACCTTTGCCCCTGCAGAAGGATGGGGACCTTGGCCCATAAGATCTGATCTCAGCCTGTGAAGGCCAAATGGTCTCACCCTATCCCAAAGCCCAAGACTCCTCACCATATCCCAGGTGTTTTATCTCTGGGTACCAGTCATTTACTCTTTTTTAGTCACATTGTCAACTGCCACAAGTTGTGATGAATAAACAACTCCATTCAAGTACATAGCTACGTTGACGGAGCCATGTAGATTTGTTTGTTCAGCAAAGGGAAATGAAGCTGCGATTTAAATAATCGCGGCTTCATTTAAATTTAAATGGCTGCCCCACTCTGCCGATCAGCTGTTTGTCGGCAGATCAGAGCAGTCTGGACGCTCCCCTGCAGACATGAAAGTCCTTTATCGACTTCCCCGGTAAACCTCATCCTACGAGAGCTGTTTGTCAGCTCAGCACGGCAGCCATTTAAATTTAAATGAAGCCGCGATTATTTAAATCGCAGCTTCATTTCCCTTTGCTGAACAAACAAATCTACATGGCTCCGTCAACGTAGCTATGTAGTTTAGACGTACCCTTAGATATTAAGCCTGTTCCCACTTAACCCACTGTGACCTGAAGGTGCTTCAGGGAATGCAAAACGCTACTTGGTCCTCTGCCAATTGACCAAAGGGAGAAAAAATTCCTTCCTGCCTTCCCTCCCCTACCCCCATGGGTGATTAGCTAGACCCACAGCATCTGTCAGACTGGTTCCCATGCCTAGCTCAGGGGGAGTAAGGTAGGGCTGCTGGGCACAGAACACAAGATGGCCACCACTCCAGGTTAAATCCTGGGATCTGGGGAATGCTGGCCATTCAGCACCCTTCCCCACAACTGGTGAATGGGTGCCAGAGACTCCTGAGGGGAGAAGTGACCCGGTGTCTATCAGTTAATGTCCACTCCCTCACTGCTGAGACACTCTCTCACCCATTGAAGCAGGTGGGAGGGTATTTAAGCTAAATGAATCTGGCTGAGCTATGGTTTGGTTATTATTCACTACAGGTTGAATCTCCCTGGTTCAGCACCCTCAGAATCTGACTGGTCCCAGAGGAGGGAGTTTGCTGGACCAAGGGAGGTCAATTCTGGCCCCTCTGCTGACAGACTCTGGGCTCTCCCGCGGTCTGTCAGCGGATCACCAGGCTCCCCTGCTCCCATGTCACCAGGTTCTCTGCCCCAGGGTTTTGGTGGACAGATAGGCAGGGAGAAAAGTATTCAGATTAATGCTATGAATTCTGTTCATCAGTGTGGTTTGCTCCAGAAGTATGACAGAACTCAAAACACATGTCAGAATTTAAGAAAACAATATATCTCTAATTCCCAAATAAAACTTTTCATTTGAATAAACAGTTTACTGTTGTAGACTTAGAACTACTAGCCAATAAATATATATTGTTTACACTTTCAAATACTTCCTTGCGTTCCGAAATGTATTCTGATACAGATATTCATTTTCTTCCTTTTTTTGTGTTAAATTGTTAACGTGATAACAATTTAAAATGTGTACATGGTAGTTTTGAGATTCACCAGTATGTTCAGATGCTCAGCACTTCTGAGCTTACATGCATGCCTGTTGATTTATTGGGTGTATGTTCTAGATTAATACATAGTTTTACTTCAACAGTCATCTTTGTGTATACACACAGACTACTGTATTATTGTAATACAGTACATGTATCTCATGCAGTGTATTGTATTTTTCTAATAAACAAGTTATTTTTATGCATTTGGTAGAGTGAAAATTGGAAAAAACTGAATAGAACTTTTTGTAAAAACTAGTAAATTTCAGTAAAAATCAGTTTAAGGGGCTTAAACATAATGAACAATTTTGTGAAGATAGACCAGGCTACTTTCCCTGCTTCCACAGACAAAAACAAGAGGACAGTGAACAAAATTGAAAGGTGACAAATTTAAAATGATTAAAAGACACACTGTTTCATAAAACAAAAGACAGGCCTATGCAGCACTTTAAAGAATAACAGGATCGTTTATTAGGTGATGAGCTTTAGTGGGACAGATCCACTTTGATCTGAGGAAGTGGGTCTGGCCCACGAAAGCTCATCACCTAATAAACCATCTTGTTAGTCTTTAAAGTGCTGCATAGGCCTGTCTTTTGTTTCAGCAAGACCAGACTAACACGGCTACATCTCTAATACTATGTTTCATAAAACATTCAGTTAGATTGTGGAACTCATTGCCACAGAATATCATTGAGGCTAAGTTCTTAATGGGATTCCACTAGGCAATGAACTCTTATCTGGAGAAGCATATCCAGAGTTATAATAATAAAACCTGAAAAAGAAAAGTACTGGTAGGGATAAAACTGCATATGATTCAAAGTATAAATACTCTAAATAATGGAAGTTTGAAAATAAAATTTTCCTGGTTACAGGTTATCCTATGTCCTATCCTTCTGTGTGTTTTCCCACACCATACTATGCAGGAACCAATGCAAGTCAGTGTCAGTATACTGGACCAAAGCTAGCAGACGTGTGATCCAGTATGGCAATTCTAATATTTCCCACAAGTATCTATCTATCTATCTATCTATCTATCTATCTATCTATCTATCTATCTATCTATCTATCTATCTATCTATCTATCTAATCTTTTTTTTGGGACAACAATTTTTTTGGCACACCTAGTCAATTTTTTTTGTTTTTGAATAAATCTTTGTCAACTTTTAGAATTTTAATTAATTGTTTTGCACAGTTGACCTGCATGTTCTTCACAATTAAAGCTTTTTAACCTGTGATCAGAAAATTCAGGGAACATAGTTTCTCATGGTTCTTTAAGGTCACACACAGCTCTGCCTTTTCAATAACTATTCAGCTCTGAGGGCATGTCTACACTACAAAGTTAATTCGAACTAACAGACGTTACTAACAGACGTAACTTTGATAGGCGTTACTTAATTCGAACTAGCGGAGCGCTTAATTCGAACTAGGTAAACTTCATTCTACGAGGACTAACTCCTAGTTCGAATTAACTAGCTCGAATTAAGGGCCGTGTAGCCACTTAATTCGAACTAGTGGGAGGCTAGCCCTCCCCAGCTTTCCCTGGTGGCCACTCTGGGCACCACCAGGGAAACTCTTCTGCCCCCCTCCCGGCCCCGGAGCCCTTAAAGGGGCACGGGCTGGCTACAGTGCCAGTGCCAGGTGCAAGCCTGCCAGCACCCAGCCAGCAGACCCTGCACCTGGCACAGCTCGA